CTCCCTCCCTCCCCCCCACAACGCCCTCCCTCCCCCAATCCCAGCCCCACTCGGCCTCATGTCCGGACCATTAGCCGGCTACCCTCTAGGCCAGCTCACTCCATCATTACCCGGCTCTGGATCTGGACATGCCATCTACCCCCTCCCTGAGAACCAGCGAGCCTTCGTCCCCATCGCCCACTCTTCCACCTCCACCAACAACTACGAGGACATCGACTCTGTCTCTCCCCCCTCTCCTCCTCCTCCTCCTCCCCCTCCCCCCTCCTCCACCACCACCCACCCAACCAGACACACAGTACCAACCCCCCCACCCAAACCCGAGCGCAAACACAGCAGAAAAGGGGCACATCCCAACAACAGCAACAACAACAGCAACAACAAATCTGGGCCGGAAGACGGACAGCAACCGGTGCTGAGACCCAAGAGTTATCTCAACGCTGTCGACGCCATGTCGGGGAGAGGTGTTGCCGACGGTAGCCATGGCAACCCCGAATCTAACACCACCACCTCCACCACCACCGCCGCCCAGAAGAACAATGTCTCCCAGAAAGTGTTGACCCACTTAGCAATGGAGGGGCCCGTTCGAGACGAGGATCGAACCCTGAACCCTCCCGTGGAAGACCGCGGCCATTTTGTGTCAGCCAACGGAGATATTTACGCTCAGGCGCGGAGGAAGGCGAGTCCCAAAAGTATTCCTCAGATTTATCAGAATCTGCAGCAGCGCTCCCCTGTTCCCATGGAATCGAACCCCTTTCCTCCACCACCACCACCACTATCACCACAACAACAACACCATCATCAACAACAACAACAACAACAGCAACTGCAACAGTTGCCCCAATACCATCCCCACCACAACGGACATCTTCCTCGAGGTTTACCACAACAACACCAACAACAACTACAACAACAACAATTACTACAACAACAGCAACATCATCTCCCGTACCCACAAATCCCACCACCATCGTCCTCCTCATCATCTCCGTCCCCCGCCACCTCCTCCTCCTCCCCGCACTCCCGCCAGACAAGCTCCGCCTTCCACAGCCTCGAGTCGCGCATGGGCCCCTCCCCCTCGCCGTCAATCAACGAGGTGTGTGACACGGACCTCGACGAACTGCCCACCCCTCGCTGGCACAGAAGGCAACAGCTCCGCTCCCAGTCCTTCTCGCCCCCGCCCTACAGCCCGCCTCCTCTTTACCAGTCGATGGATTCCATTAACCCTCGTAGCTCTGTTCGGTAAGTAAGTGTGGGTATATTCAAATATATATGTAGTACAATATGTAATAATGTAATATATGTGTCACGATACGGTGGAATCAGTCACCCATCAGCCCGCCCCCTCTTTACCGGTCCATGAATTCCATTAACCCTCGTAGCTCTATTCGGTAAGTAAGTAAGTGTGTAAGTGTGTGTGTGTGTGTGTGTGTGTGTGTGTGTGTGTG